TAGGGCCCCACAGAGAATTATGTATTTAATTCATTTATTTGACTTAAATACTGCTGTGATGATGGGAAATCCCTATACGATCCATCACAATTTCACCATTTTGTCCTTCACATCAATTTGATGCTTTCTTGATTACTAAGACAACAGTATAATTCAATGTCATCATATTTTATTTCATATCTCGAATCTGGAATTGGATGTTCTCCTTAGCTGATATTTTAAAAGTAGTACTTAGACACCTTTGTGTATACTTTTAGATTTGTCTTATTATGGATTATTTTAATAATTAATTAATTTGGGTTTTTGGTGCTTATACTCAGTGACCCAGTAGACCCAACAGGCCCAATGGATTTTAGGGTCAATTCCTGGTTCTGAGCTCATCAGTGACCCCAGCAGAGCTTGAGGGACTATACAATATTGCTGGGAATCAAATCAGAGTTGATAGCATGAAAAGCAAGCATCTTATCTCCTGTACTATCTCTCTGGCCTCATAATTATTACAGGGGAAAAATTGTATTCCTGAAGTTGATTTAAGTTAGTTTTATTGTCACTTAATCATAAACAATGGCATTAAGTACTTTAGGGTAATGTTTCTTATACAATTAAAAAACAAACAAAAAATAATTAACGGCATTAATTTAATATTTGCATCATATTATTTTATTTAGCTATCTTTAAATTAAGCTAAAACTAAATTACAGCTCACAAAATGAAAGAGCTGGTAATGGCACTTACTTAATAGTACAGTTTGCCTTATTGCATGCTAGGATAATTCACTTCCCCCTCAACTTTCTGTTGGCTACCAAGAAATTTTATTATGCAAAACACACCTACTATATGCACATATTATTAACAAATAAATTCTGACTCCTTTTCAAGTTACCAATTCAAGTTGTACTAGCTAGTGTTCATGTGCTTATGAACAAAATACAAATGTGAATATTGATAATGTACAATGATATGGTTATTCTGATCAGTGACATCAACTCTTTTATGTCTGCAGACCTGTACCAGGTAGAAAACCATTACTGCATATGACCCAGAATATTTTTATAAATTTATTATAGATTAATTTCTTAGATGGTCAGGTCACATTAGAGAAATAAAGTTGAAAGTTTCCACGGCATATCTGAACATAAAGGGAACATAGATGACAATAAACTGACACCAAAAGTATTTGAGGAAGAGTCAACTATGTGTATTTTCTACATGAACCATAGTAAAATAGTAGTAATTGGTCAAGATTATCAGTGGAGAAGTAGAAATGATGACATTAGCAAGCTACAAATCACAAAGAGTTTATGGCACCTGGGCTGAAGAGATTTTAGAACAAGTAGGGTGTTTGCCTTGTAAGTGGCCAACCCACTTTTCGCATCCTGAAGTCTTGTGGGGTCCCCTAAGCTCCAATAGAAGTTCCCACTAACTGTAGAGCCAGGAGTAATCCCTTAGCATAGCAGACTACGGCACAAGACCAAAAAATCATGCATATAGACAAAACAGAGATTATAAATAGCACAGCCACCCTTACAAGTTCATCTGCATAGTGCTCAGGTAATTCTCGTATAAATAGTGACTAAATTTCTAAAAGAAATATATTTGGATGACTTACCACAGTTTTGTTCAGGATCCTCACAAGTCTCCTGTACTTTATCTGAGGTTATTCTTGACTTTTAATGAGAACAGACGGCAATTCTTTAAAAAATTATTTTAGTTATCTTTAATTCTGGAGCCATACCTGGCAGTGCTCAGGGGATTAAATCTGGCTCTGTGCTCACCTTTCTTGGTGCTACTTAGAAGACTATTTGTGGTTCTGGGAGTTGAACAAGAGTTGCCTGTGTGCAAGGCAAACATCTGAACCCCTGTACTAGCTCTTCAGCCCTTGACAGCAATTTTTAACAGGACAGTAAGACTATCAGTTTGTCATTTTATTATTCAAATGATTTCTGGGACACTGTAAAAGATATCCAATGGAGGAAAGAGAGACACTTAAATAAATCAGCCAGGTTACTCCTCAGTCTCTTTGTTGAGAGCTTTAACTGAAGTGACAAAGGAGTACAGAGTCAGTTTTCAGATTTAGTGATTTCTGATATGATGATTCAATGAACAGATGAACAAAGAATAACTAGTTAGTAAAATGAAGAGATGTGAACCCCTATTAGGTGATGATATAAGAAATTGGGCAAGGATGGGAGAGGATGAATTCTATAGAAGTTAAGGAAGCAGAATTCTCAAGATAATTTGACCAGATGTTTGGAGAGAGTGATGATCTTCAGTTTTAAAAATTATCTACTGCAACATATCATTCATAAAGATAATGTGAGCAATAACCACCTCATATCTTTCTGGCTTACTTTTAGCAGTGTCCTATTGAAAATAACACTTAGACTAGATCTTTCAAGTATACATTGGATACCTGTGTCAGTGTATCCAACAAAGAAACTCAACATGTATAGGAATGCACTCATAAAAATATTTGTCATCATCTAAGTGAGAAAATGAATGTGTAAATAAAGTGTGACACCAGTCAAATCTGGGCATCTTGCTTGCTTTTGTGGTGACCTGTGATTAACAATGACTTTTACATTTTGGGTAGTTTAAAACACTCTAAGAATAATTTTTCATGAAATGTTAAAATAGATTTTTTTGCTTGAGCAGGCCCAGTAACATTGTGAGACTTGTGTTTGGCATACAGAATACGTCACGGGTAGCTTGCCAGGCTTTGCCGTGCGGGCGAGATACTCTCGGTAGCTTGCGGGACTCTCCGAGAGGGGCAGAGGAATCGAACTTGGGTCAGCCATGTTGGCTGCCTGCAAGGCAAACGCCTTACCTGCTGTGCTATAGCTCACAAAATTAAAATAAACAAATTTCTAACAGAGCAACCATGTTCCTTGCTGTGCATACTATCTATGGCGGTTTGGGGCTACAATTGCAGAGCTGAAGAGTAGCCAGAAAGACAACTCTCAGAGCCTAAAACATTTACTATCTGGTTCTATACTAAGTTTGCTGATTACGGCCTGTGAGAAGAGGAGTACTGTGCTAGGATTTTCACAGCATACGTCCTCCATTTTCTTGAAACATTTAGTGCTACACTAGGTTGTAGGAACAAGGAAAAATTATTCATCTAATTTGAACATTCATGGGTTCAAACTAAAATAATCTAATTTTTCAAGGAAAGGTGAATAAATATCTTCTTCATGTGGTAAAGAATTATAATTTGCCTGCTTAAACACTGCTATTAATTTTAAGGGCTGGAGCTATAGCACAGCGGGTAGGGTGTTTGCCTTGCACGCAACCAACCTGGCCAACCCAGGCTTGATTCCTCTACCCCTCTTGGAGAGCCTGGCAAGCTACCGAGAGTATCTTGCCCGCTCGGCAAAGCCTGGAAAGCTCCCGGTGAAATATTTGATATGCCAAACACAGTAACAAGTCTCACATGGAGACATTACTGGGCCTACTCGAGCAAATCGATGAACAACGGGAGGACTGTGCTACAGTGCTATTAATTTTAAATACTTATAATATTAAAGTTAAAAATTCAAAATACAAAGGTCTTTGCAAATGCAACATTTGTGTTAGGTCTTATCACTTATTTGTCTAATTGTCTTCCATAAAGAAGTAATAAAGGAATGAAGGGTAGGAGTAAAACTGAAAAACACACCCAGCTTCTACTGAAAGCAAAGCATAATTCCCATCACTCTTCTCAAGGCCTTCTATCTCAAATTAAGGGGGGGGGGAGGGGGGAGTAGGGTGGAATTTATTTTACACAGCGAAGAGGAATAATGGTGTGGATATTTGGAATCTTGTAAACTAGGGCCGATTTTATATTGCTGAGCAATATAACTCCCGAAAATGCTGGGGACCAAAAGGGCTACTATACCTCGCAGTGGACTTGGACGGACCAGGTGGTGCTGGAGATGAATCTAGGTTTTCACAATTACAAGGCAGAAGCTCTATCTCCTGAACTACATCCCCGAGGGTTTTTTTTTTTAATTTATTTTTAAAATGTCATCCAAGGGTCCAAAGCTATAGTACAGAGGGCAGGGCGTTTGCCTTGCATGTGGCTGACCTGGGGTAGATTCCTGGCTTCCCATTTGGTCCTCGGAGCATCACCAGGAGTAATTCCTGAGTGCAGAGCCAGGAATAACCCCATGTGCATCGCTGGGATGACCCCCAAAGCCAGTAAGATAAAATAAAATGCCGTCTAACAGCTATTTTAGGATCAATAAGTGAACATTCAGTTATTGATGCATCTCTCTCCTCTCCCTTACCCTTGAGAAACCTGGAAAACAGTATTTTTTCCTCTGAGAAGTCCTCAGAAGCTTGTGAGGAACTTAAGCTCGTTCAGTGGGACTTGCCAGTCCAAGCTCAAACACAGTCGAACCCGTGCTTCGTGGTTTTCCGAACCCGCGCGCCTGATAACGCCGCCACCCCCCAGCCAACCCTGCCTCCCCGCCATCCCCTCACCCCCACCCCGCTCCCGGAGCCCCTACCCCGCAGCAAGTGTAGCGTGACGTAATGCAACCTCAGCAAGTCAGCCGCTTCAGAGAGGAGGGCCGGGCGGCTTGCCTCCCGGACGCAGAGTAGCTCGCGATTGGCTCGGGGTCCGGAACCTCGGGAACCCGAACGTTCGGCCCTCGCTGATCCACGGCGGCCTCCCACGGAAACCCGGAGCTCGGGCAACGTCCAATCGGGGGCGGCGGCGGCGGCGGATGCGGCGGCGGCGGCGGATGCGGCGGCGGTGGCGTCGGCAGGAGGTAAGGCGACTCCTGAGGAGAAAGTGAAGGGACTTGCTCGGCTCTGCGGGGCTCAGTGTGGCCGGGGTTCCGGGAGGAGACGCGCCGATTGTGTGCGAGCGGGACGGGAACAATGGAAGCGGCTTCTCGGCTCCCGGCTTCCCCTCCCCCTAGGCAGTTCCTCTTCGCCGCCGTACGGAGCGGCTGGCGAAATTGAGGAAAGTCTCGCACGCTCGGCGAACCTCGTCTTGCCATAGGTCCCGGCCCCGGAGGCCCGAAGCCTTAGTGGGGGCCCGTGGTGTAGTTTAGAGCGACGGGAAAATGGCGGAAAACAAAACGGTGAAGATCGCGGCGCCCCCCCACCCCCGCAGGCATTTTCTCTCAGTCTCCCCCCCCCTTTATTCCTTTCACTCGCACCCCCGACCCCCCGTTTCCGCCCCGGACGCCCCTTTCTCCCCCCACCCGCTGCCCGCCGTACCCTTGGAATGTGCGTGGGCGGCGGCGTTGGTGCTGAGGTGCCGAATCGCACGTTTTGGTGGCCGGGGAGGCGCGGGGGCGGGTTCGCGCGGCTCCGTCGCCTCCGCTAGGCCACCACCATCTTGGTTCTCGGCCGGGTCTCGTGGAGCCGGCAGAGGGGGTGAGGTTGGGCGGCTGGACTCGTGGGTGGCTGCGGTATCCGCCGCTGCTCCGATCCGGGGGACGGGGGCGGTAAATTCTCTTTCTATGTCCGCTTCCCTCCCCCCCCCCCCCCAGGTTCTCTTGTTCGGGTAATTTATGGGAGGGCACGCGTGCGCTTTTTTTTTTTTTTTTTGGTTAGAAATGATTGAAACTTGGCATGGTCCTTTGGAAGAAGACTTAAAGCGGGAAGAGGTTGTTTCCAAAGCTTCAATACTGCTACTTGCCAGGCCTCCTTTGTCTCCTAGTTCCGCAAATACTGCCACTTGAGCTTCCCTTGCTCTGCCGTCTTAGGTCTACTCTTGAATCCCTTGCCCTGTTTACATCTCGGGAAGCTTGGTCCCGAGTAAGCTATGTTTAGAGGAGAAGGATGAGTAAAATGGTTTTTTCCTTTCTTTTTGAGGGGGCGGGGTGAGTCATTTTTGGTCCCCTCATAGTGATGGAAAAGAAAGATGTTGATGTTTACTTGAAGCCTAGTTGTCTCTGTTCCATAAGGATGTGCGATATCATCTTAAAAGGACTAAGATGCCTAGCAATCTGTTGGTTATTGAATACTTAACACACTCCTGTTCTCATAGCTCTTTTATTATTAATCCTATTGAAACTTCCTATATGGGGAAAAGGGTTGTGAGATTGATTTTCGATTTAGACGTTGTGATACTTCCCATAATAGTTTCACTACGTATTAATATGTTGACACTTTATTGAGTGCAGATTTACCCCTATAATTTGGCAAGGATAAAATAAGCTCTTGGTTGGTTCTCTTTCATTTTCCAAAATAACGTGTTGCTAGAGAAAATTTGATGCTTAGGTAAATATTTAAGTGTAGTAACATTGCTTCTGTTGAAACCGCCGATTGATTTTTAGATGAAAGGATTTGATCATGAAGTCCCTAGCAGTTTTGCCTTGCAAGTTGAATTGTAAAGAAAAATTGTGGCAGTCATGCAAATCTGACATGCACAGGACATCATCCTCAGCACTGCATTCACCGCATGGCCTCCTAAGCACCACTGTCATTCCCCCCCTCCTGCTGCAAAAAAGAAAAAAGTTGTATAAGAAATTTATTTTAAAATGTTTCAAGATATATAATTCTCATTTTTTACAGTAGGTAAAGGCAACATTTTCCAAGAGAAAATAACTCAGACGGAAAAATAACAAAAATAAATTGCAGATTTTATTTTATAATATGTAAGAGAGTCTACAACTTCAAGACGCATATTAAGGTGATTAACAATTTGGTATTTTATCTTATTCATTACACAAAATAGTACTTAAACATTTAATGGTGTTTTTAATTATTTTATTATGTGGGAAAGCACTTATTCTAAAGTTGAATAGTACACTGCTTTAAAATGTTAAGGACAGTGCCTATGGTGTTTTAATTTACTTGTGTGAAAGTATAGTTGTTTATTGTGAACTCTCAGTCTTTTCTACTGAAAGGCAGAAAACAATGTGGTATTTGAAAAAGAAAATACGGTTAAGAATTTATAGCAATTCATAATCTTGCTCACATAAAATGACTTTGTTAATGATTTGCTATATATAAATGTTTCATACCGATTCAGATTTTTCTGTTCATTACTGAAATGCTCATAGAGGTTTCCCTTTGAGATAATTCTACATTTGTTTATGTATAGAACTTGGAGACAAGTGAAAATCTTAGCTGTACTTATTAATAGATTAATTGGTTTTACATGGACGTTTTCTAAAACTCTGTTGACTTCTTAGTTTCATCTTTTGTGTCATATAGCCCAATTTGCTTAACAGTATTAATTAAAAACTAAAGATAAAGTTGACAGGTATGTTTGGTTTGATTTAATTAAAATCTAATAATGTTTGAAGGAGAATACATATATGTAATTAGAAGCAGAATTATGCATGAAACTATAGACTTTAGCTTCCATTTTATCTGAGGATCTTAAAGTGGAATAAGGAATTTGAAAAGAAATAGGTTGAGCCCTTTCAAAATTAGCATAAAGCTAACATGAGTTATTATTAATAAAATTATTATGCAATTACAAGTAAACAATTTTCTGAAAGAAGCAATTTGCTCCTTATTTACCTATAATGGGTCTTAATTCTACCATAGTTACAGAAGCAGGGGTGTTTCATGAGTCCTTAAAACTGAGACAGACAGTAGTAGAGGCCAGAAGTCCTCATTCACTCAAAGAACTTCAGGGAAACTGGGTTAGAACTTAGTGTATTATAAGTAGAACCTCAAGAGAGAAGTGAAACACATCTTCATTTACAGAACTTTTTTGAAGGGCTCATTTTGGGTCTGGAAGAAATGGATGAGAGTCACTGGATGAAATTCACTGGTATTACACCTGAAGCATACAGTAACGTATAATATATTAACTATTGTCTATTGCCATATTATTTTTATTATTATATTTTAACTGAAACTTCACTTCTGCCATTTTTATTGTTTTCCTTGCTTCTACCACCTCTCCCATGGCTCATTTCCCTTATTGTGTCTTATTCTCCATTATCTTAGGTTTTTCCTCTATTTGGTTCTTTATTTATGGTTGTCACATTAAGCATCTAATCAAAGCTTTTTATTTTATTTGTATTTGTGCACTTCATTTAAAGGCATTTTTTTCTGAAAACAACTGATTTTGTCCTAAATATATTTAACCTACTTAAAAACTCTTTCTTTTGCAGATATTTGTGAATAATCTTTGCTAATTATGGATTCAGGTGGTGGAAGTCTTGGATTGCATACATCAGATTCTAGAATGGCTCATACCATGATTATGCAGGATTTTGGTAAAGCATTTTCTTTGTTGTATTTTTTAAATGTCAGAATATACCAAAATATCAAAAATATCGAAGAACTAGAATTACAGAGAAAATGAATTATTTTCTAGGAAAATACATTTGTAGGGCTTACATTTATAGGGTAAATTTATATATCTTAAAGTTAATCTAATTTTTGTGGGCAAATTGAAGTTAAGGAAGGAGAATATAGTGGTATTATTTAATTGGAAATAAAAAATGTCATTTTGTGTGGGGTCAGAGCCCTAATAGACTGTTTGCCCTGCACATGACTGATTTCAATCTCATATGGTCCCCTGAGCACTGCTAAGAGTAATTCCTGACTATAGAGCAGGAGTAACCCCTGAGCATCACCAGATATGTCTAAATAACAACAACAAAAGTAAATTGGTATAAATAATTGCATCATTATTTCACAAAAATATAATAAAAGTGACTTTATAAAATAAAGTTTAAGTTACATTATTGATAAAGCAAATAAAGTATTTTCTTCTATTCAAAGAATTTTACAGTTAAATAGTGATATAGGTAAAATCATGCTCTTGGTGATTAATTATATTCTAATGTTGTATTCTCAGAGTTATTATAATAGACGATGTTTTCTTTTGTTATAAAAAGGCTTTCAACTTATATTGTCTTAAAATAGTTTCTTGATTAAAATATGAAGATTCCATTGAAAATCAACAAAATGCTGATTTTCACAGTATCAGTCTAAATGATAGAGATATATGAAGTTTAAGAAGAAAGGATAAGGGCCTGAGAGATAGCACAGTAGGTAGGGTGTCTGCCTTGTATGCGGCCAACTCAGGTTCGATTCCCAGCATCCCATATGGTCTCCTGAGCACTGCCAGGAGCAACTCCCAAGTGCAGATCCAGGAGTAACCCCTGTGCATCGCCAGGTGTGACTCAGAAATAAAGGATCAGAGTGAGAGCAAAGATCACAAATGATAAAGAGAAAAAGTAAACAAAAAATGAAATATTACTGAATATCAAATCTAAACTTAGGGGTGGGGGCTACAACTACTGATATTTTGTTTAATAAAATCCTGTTAGTGATTTTAGATAACTTTGAGCATGTTATTTTCTGTCCCTTTTAAAAATCCAGAGTAATGAGAGTCAGAAATGATTCTAGTTTTGTTAGTTTTGCTAACTGTATGTCTATATTAACAAAGAGCTTAATTCGCTTTAATGAATTGGTTGGGCTATGTAACATTTGATGTCCTTTCCAGTGTCATGATGCCTTGGCATTTCTCTCTGATGAATTAAAGTGCAATTTGTACATCAAGATTGAGTGTACTGGAGATCAAGATGACCCTGTAACTGATGATGTAGAAAAATTCATGTATTTGTACAGCTAACTGAAGTGAAGTCATGTTAATTATGATTTTGAAATCATTCTGGTTAAGAAGAATTACAGAAATTTTAGAATGCAGAAGAGTAATAGATTTCAGGTAACCTTGTAAATAATTTTCTAGACATAGATTTCAGACGACTGGCATACTTGAACTTCAGTATGGTAAATAGATTTTGACCTGAATATCAACTTTCATTTTTAAAATAAGATATTGAGAACTTGATTCTATACTTATTCCCACTCCCTACTCTCTGCTGGGGAGTTTCTTTTCTTTTTCCTTCTACTTTCTAATAAAAATTTCTGTTTCCCAAAAAATGAAAGGTATTTTATAATGAAAATAATGCAGTATATTCCTCATTTAATTAAAAAATAATGCCTACCCTGTAGCATTTGGTGAAGTGCCAGAATCCTCTTCACTACTGAAGAAAATGCCAGTTCATGAGTAAAATATCCATTCCTTTCAAAAGATGAAAAAAAAAGAACTTTAGTTCTGGCAAATAATTTATGTTCCTTTCTCCTTTCCATTGTTCTTCCTTAATGTCTTGAAGTTTACTTTTTTTTGGCTATGTAACATTTATTGTATCAAGATAAGGAATAAGATAAAACAAGCAGACTGCAATTGTTGTTACTGAGAATGGAAAGAAAGAAAAGTCTTTAAAAAATCTAATATCTGTATTTAAAATTTTAGAATGCCTGGAGCACGCTGCCACATTTGTGGCCATGCAACATTTCATATGTTGGTAATCTCTTACACAAGGACTTACTGGCTCCAATGTAAGATAAAACAATCTTTACACTTAAGTAATGTTTTTAGATCATTTTAGCAAATTATTCATAACAAGCAATACAAAACAATTTTTTTAGGTCTTGCATTGGGGGCAGGGTTTGGGGGACAGGGTGGAGACATTTGAAATGTGGTGGGTAGGTGTAATGGTGGTGGGATTGGTATTGGAACATTTAATGTAATAAGTTATTGTGAAAAACTTTTAAAAATAAAATAAAAAATCTAATACTTGGAGCTGGAGAATTAGTTTAGCACTTGCTGTGTATGTGGCTGACCTAGGTTCAATTCCTGGCACCCCATATGGTCTCCCAAGCTGTGCCAGGAGTGAGTCCTGAGCAAAGAGCCAGAAGTAAGTCCAGAGAAAAGGAAGAGAGGGAGCGAGGGGGGAGGGGAAGGGAGAAGAAAAGGAAGGGGGAGGAAGGGAGGGAAAATGCAATACTTCTATCTATGATTGACTTATAGAGACTTTCTGCCTTTCAACTACTGGTACTACCAGTCAGTCTACTGTTACTGTCAGTGAGAAAAAGTCCACAGCTGGTGGGTTTTTGTTCTTTGCTGTGAAAAAAAAATTACATGATAGAGCTGGGCTTAAAAAGTTGATTTTAGTTTTCTAAGATAAGAGGAAATGGTTGAATGGGAGCAGCCCAGATCCTTCACTGTAACCATGGGAGGGTGTAGTGTAGCACCAACTTGCCTTTATATTTATATCTTCCCAGCTCTGCCTCAGCCAATATGACATAGGTTTTGGTTGGGCCTACTGTTTTATATAATAGAATGAATTGTTAGAGCTAACAGAGACCCTTAAAATTTTTAAATCACTGTTCAGCTTCCCAACACTGAAGTGGAAGTTAGGAGAAGGAGAAAAACATCTGGAATTTGAAATGTCTGAATTCCTACCCTGTAGCTTTCCACTTGGATGAAGCAGTTGGGCACATAACTGCTGAAAAGCGATACTACATGCTGACTTTCAGTAAATGATAAAGCAAAATAAAAGTTTATTCTTATTTATACCTCATGCTTCATTTCTTTTAGGTTGCTAGGAAATGTGAACATGTATGTTCTAATATATTTTGGGGTCTTTTTTGGGGGCCACACACAGTGGTTCTCAGAGACTTCTGGCGTGGTGCTTGGGGGTTTCTCCCACAGTGTTCAAAGACAATATAGTACTAGGGATTAAGCCTGGTCTTACTGAATGTGCTCCAGCTCTTTGAACTATCTTTTCTGCATTTTATGTTCATTTTCATATGTATTTTATATTGATATTTAATTCATATACTATACAATTTGGGCTGGAGCGAAAGCACAGTGGGTAGGGTGTTTGCTTTGCATACGGACAACCCAGGTTTGATTCCTCCATCCCTCTCGCAGAGCCTGCAAGCTACCGAGAGTATTGCACTTGCAGGAAAGAGCCTGGCAAGCTCCCCGTGGTGTATTCGATATGCCAAAAACAGTAACAAGTCTCGCAATGGAGACATTACTGGTGCCCGCTCAAGCAAGTGAATGAACAACGGGAGGACAGTGCTACAGTGCTACTATACAATTTACCAATTTTGAAGTATATAATTTTATGGTTTTTAGTATAGTCACAGTATTATACAATTATCACCTCAGTTGTCACTTCATAATTAGTCAGGCAAGCATGCTATTTCTTCCTATCTTGTACATTTGATGAGAATACAATCATATCATGTGATCGTTTGTGTTTTTTTATTTAACATTTTCAAGTTTTATCTGCGTTGTAGTGTTATCAGCATTTCATTCCCCTTAACTGCAAAATAACATAACATTGTATGAATAAACTACATTTTGTTTATCTATTCTTCGGCTCACATTTTCATAGAGCTGTGAAAACATGTTCTGTATATTAGAATACTTTTGTGTCAAACAAAGCTTTGCACTTTAGACTGGAGTATGAGTGGTCATGGAAATATGCCAATGCATACACCTGCAACCACAAGATAAACATCTTGGAACACTTTTCATGGTAATTGGGGAGATACACATATACACATACACACATAGAAACACAATTATTCTAACATAAACATACTGCCCAGCAGAGAAAAATTCTTTCATGTTCTGGTCTTTTTAGAAGTAACGAAATGGAAACTACTACATAGTTTTAACTGGTACTTTCATATAATAATTAACACTTTTTGTAAAATGAATATCATGGAGTACTTATACCAGAAAAGTTTCAAAACTACAGTATTTTTTGTTATGTAGTCTTTATGTTTCAGTTGTCTAGTGTTATTTTGTGATTACTGGTTTTAGAAAAAGTGCATAAGCATAAGCGCCGTTCTCCTGTTGTTCATCGATTTGCTCGAGCGGGTCCAGTAACGTTTCCATTGTGAGACTTTGTTGTTACTGTGTTTGGCATATTGAATACGTCACGGGTAGCTTGCCAGGCTTTGCCATGCGGGTGAGATACTCTCAGTAGCTTGCCAGGCTCTCCGGGAGGGGTGGAAGAATTGAACTGGGGTTGGCCAGGTCGGCCGCATGCAATGTAAATGCCTTACCCACTGTGCTATCGCTCCTGCCCAGATATATACATTATGGTAGCTAAATTGTTTTCTGTATTGAGAAGGTACAATTAGAAGTCAGGAACTATATTTTCATCATTTGATGTTACTGGATCAATTTCAAGTATTTTCACTTTTTGTGTGATATTTTAAGAAATAAAATAATGTTAATTTAAGCCCAGAGGGAACTTAAATTATCAGTACTTTTGATCACGATCACGATCGATCACGATCACGATCATCCTGTTGTTCATCGATTGCCTCGAGCAGGCACCAGTAATGTCTCCTTCGCCCTAGCCCTGAGATTTTAAAAAGTGCCATATTCATGGCT